TGATAATTGCCATTCTGACTGGAGTTAGGTGGAATCTCAGTGTGGTTTTGATTTGCATCTCCCTGATGATTAGTGAGGCTGAGCATTTCTTCATGTGTCTGTTGGCTGCTCGGATGTCTTCTTTTGTGAAGTGTCTGTTCATATCTTTTGCCCATTTTATAATGGGGTTGTTTGTTTTTTTCTTTTCAGCACGTTTGAATTCCTTGTAGATCCAGGAATGTTAAGCCTCTGTCAGACCTGGAGTTGGCAAATACTTTTTCCCAGTCTGTAGGCTGTCTCCCTGCTCTCTTGATGGTTTCTTTGGCTTTGCAGAAGCTTGTCAGTTTAATAAGGTCCAACTTGTCAATCTTCTCTCTTATGACCTGTGGGTTTCGGGTTTTGTTCAGGAATTGGATGCCAGTTCCGATTTCCATGAGGGTATTTCCTTCCTTTTCTAAGGTTCTTATGGCTTGAGATTTTACATTTAGGTCTCTGATCCATTTGGAGTTAATCTTTGTGCATGGAGATAGATAAGGGTTCTGTTTCAATCTTCTGCATGTGGTCAGTCAGTTTTCCCAGCACCATTTACTGAATAGGTTCTCCTCTCCCCAGTGGTAGGTGGTGGGGGCTTTGTCAAAGATGAGTTGGTTGAGAAATTGTGGTTTTGCTTCTGGAATCTCAATTCTATTCAATTGATCTATATGCCTGTTCCTATACCAATACCAAGCTGTTTTGATGATTGCAGCTTTATAGTAAAGTTTGAAGTCTGGTAATGTGATACCACCTGCTTTGTTTTTTTTTTTTGCTGAGGATTGTTCTGGCTATTCTTGGATGTTTGTGTTTCCATATGAATTCCTGTGTTGTTTTCTCCAGGTCTGAGAAGAATGTTGCTGGTAATTTGATGGGTATTGCACTGAATTTGTAGATTGCCTTAGGTAAGATGGACATCTTCACAATGTTGGTTCTTCCAATCCATGAGCATGTGATATTTTTCCACTTGTTTGTGTCATCTTTGATTTCTTTGAGCAGTGTTTTGTAATTTTCATTGTAAAGGTCTTTCACGACTCTGGTTAGGAAGATGCCAAGGTATTTCATTTTTTTTGTGGCTATTGTGAATGGAATTGTGTTTTTTATTTGGGTTTCTGTTTATTATTGGTGTAGAGAAATGTGATTGTTTTTTGTACATTTATTTTGTACCCTGAGACTTTGCCAAAGGCCTTTATCAATGTAAGGAGGCTTTTGACAGATTCTCTTGGGTTTTCAAGGTACACAATCATATCATCTGCAAAGAGAGATAACCTGACTTCCTCTTTTCCTATTTGGATACCCCTGATTGCCTCCTCTTCTCTGATTGCTCTAGCCAGGACTTCCAATATTATGTTGAACAGGAAGGGTGAGAGTGGGCATCCTTGTCTAGTTCCAGTTTTCAGGGGAATTGGTTCCAATTTTTGTCCATTTAGGAGTATGCTGGCTGTGGGTTTCTCGTAGATGGCTTTTACTATTTTGAGGTATGTTCCCCATATGCCTAGATGTTCAAGGGTTTTTATCAAGAAGGGGTGCTGGATTTTATCAAAAGCTTTTTCTGCATCTAATGATATGATCATGTGGTTTTTGTTTTGACATCTGTTAATGAATTTAATTACATTTATGGTTTTACGAATGTTGAACCAGCCTTACATCCCAGGAATGAAGCCTACTTGGTCATGGTGGATGATTTTTGAGATGTATTGCTGAATCCGGTTTGCTAGGATCTTGTTGAGAATTTTAGCATCTATGTTCATCAAAGATATTGGCCTGTAGTTCTATTTCTTTGTTGGATCTTTACCTGGCTTGGGTATCAATGTGATGTTGGCTTCGTAAAGATCTGGGGAGAGTTCCATCTTTTTCAATCATCTGGAATACCTTCAGTAGGATTGGTATCAGCTCCTCCTTAAATGTCTTGTAGAATTCTGCTGGAAAGCCATCTGGACCAGGGCTTTTTTTTGTAGCAAGTTTTCTTATTACGTAGTCGATTTCCTTGATTGTTATTGGTCTATTTAGGGTCTCAATTTCTTCTTGTTCCAACCTAGGTAGGTTGTGTGATGTCAGAAAGTCCTCCATCTCCTTAAGGTTTTCAAGTTTGTTTCCATACAAGTGTACGTAGTAGTCTCTAATGATATTTTGTATTTCTTCAGGGTCAGATGTGACTTCATCTTTTGTGTTTCTGATTGTGCTTATTTGTTTTTCTTCTCATTTTTTCTTGGTCAGTCTAGCTAGGGGACTATCGATCTTGTTTATCCTTTCGAAGAACCAGCTTTTTGTTTCATTGATTTTTTGTATTATCTTTTTGTCTTCTATGTCCTGGATTTGGGCTTTTATTTTGGTGATCTGGATTCTTCTGCGGAAATTAGGGTTTTTGTGGTCTTGCTTTTCCAGTTTCTTTAGGTGGCTTGTTAGGTTGTGAATTTCTGTTCCTTCCATTTTCTTCATGTGTGTTTGTAGGGATATAAATTCCCCTCTTACTACAGCTTTCAGGGCATCCCAGAGATTTTGGTAAGATGTTTCTTCATTTTCATGTGTTTCCAGGTATCTTTTGATCTCTGTTTTGATTTCATCATTGACCCAGAAGTTGTTTAGCATCATGCTGCTTACTGTCCATGTCTTTGTGGGTTTTGGGGGGACTTTGTTGGTGTCAATGTTTATTTTTATTCCACTGTGGTCTGAGAAGGTACATGGTAGAATTTTGGTCCTTTTAAATTTGCTTATGCTTGATTTATGGCCGAGTATGTGGTCGATCTTAGAATATGTTCCATGTGGTGATGAGTAGAATGTGTATTCTGTGGTCTTTGGATGGAGTGTTCTGTAGGTATCAATTAAGTCTATTTGGTCCAAAGTCATACTGAGGTTTGGGATCTACAGAGCTTTTTTTTCACAGAACTGTTAAGATTACATAAGACAACTCTGAAAGATAAGGAAACAAGGACTTTCAAGAAGTCACTTGGTCAATAAGCATTTGTTAAGTTTCTACCCTAGGTGCTAGGTACTTCAGAGGATGCTAGAGATGATTTACTCTTAATCTGAAAGAAATAATAGAGAATTTTAAAAAAATAAAAAAAAAAACAAGTAATAGAAACTCAATAAATCAGATGAACATATGAATATTAAAGAAGTTTAGACAAAGGTGAAATCAATGTAAGCAAAGTATTTGAGGAGGGACTCATAAAAGCAGAAAATTGGGTTGGTCCTTGAAGGCAGAAGCTGAAAGGAAGAGAGCCCTCAATGTGGAGTAAGAGTAGTATGAGCAGAGGTCCCAGTAGTAGAGGTGGAGCAGACACACCAAATCTTGAGGGGAAAAAAATGAAGGTTCTGGTCTCTGCTCTGCCATTAACTAACTACATGACCTTAGACAAATCACTTCACTTTTTTCTGGGCCTCAGTTTTCACTTCATCAGTATATATATGTTAGAGTGGGAGTCTCACTCTGTTGACCAGTCTGGAGGACAGTGGCACACTAACGGCCACTACAGTCTCTACCTGGCGGGCTCAGGTGATCCTTCCACCTCAGCCTTGCAAGTAGCTGGAACCACAGATGCATACCACCATGCCCAACTAATTTTATTTATTTACTGTAGAGATGAGGTCTCACCAAGTTTCCCAGACTGGTCTCAAACCCCTGAACTCAGGCAATCCTCTTGCCTCTGCCTCCCAAAGTGCTGGGATTACAGGCATGAGGCCCTGTGCCTGACTCATCAGTATATTAATGGGCTACTTGCTTTCTAAGATCCCTTCTACTCCTGATGTCTTATGATTCCTGGTGAGAATCACTATTTTGCATGTGGGTATACATATGTGTGCACACACCCTATATAGGTGTGAAAAACTGCAGAATAAGAGATAGAGAAAGGATGTGGGAGACCAGTCTGCCATTCACAGTATGTTTCAGGAGGAGCTGGAGGCCAAGATTACTGGGTATTGTGAGACTGTGTAGTGCTAAGTAGAGAATAGCATAATGTTAGGTGATAAGTAGCTGTTGAAGACTATTGAACATAAATCACATGGGTTAATGATAAAAGTAGGTGTTGCAGCAAGAAAAAAAGTCTATGTGTGGACAAAGGTAGGGGAAGCCTGGAGGTGAGCTGAGTGTACAGAAAGGGGACTTGAAGCCAGGAGAAAACAAAGAAAGGATAAAATGACAAAAGCAAAGGAACCATGGAAGTATGAGAAACAAGAAATGAGATTGGATTTAAGCTTCCTAGAGCAGAGACCAGTTACTCCTTGCCTTTTGAAGCCTATCTCCCAGCAGTGTGGGTATGTAAGTACACTGGCAGAATCATAGTCAGGGAAAGAATTACAGCAGGAAAGTGTGAACACATTAAAGAAGATCCCGCAAAGCAAGAGTAAAAAAGTCAAGAATAATATCTACCTTACCTTCTGAACATTTTAGGAATGAGATTTTTTTTTTAAGCAACAAATATGGGCATGAAAAACCTTATTCCATTTTAAAGAATGGATATACTTTACTTGCTTGTTAGTACTAAAGCCTTAATATTCAAATTCTAACTTATTTTAGAAACTTGCTCTCTCAAAAAGCACTCCCTAGATTTCGTGCATAAGAAACTGAACCTGCCGGGCTCGGTGGCTCAGCCTGTAATCCGCGCTTTGGGAGGCTGAGGTGAGTGGATTGCCTGAGCCTGCAGGTTCGAGACCTGCCTGGGGAACTTGGCGAGACCTCATTCTTCAATAAATCAAAAAATTAGCTGGGCGTGATAGTGCGTGCCTGTAGTTCCAGCTATTTGGAAGGCTAAGGCAGAAGGATCGCCAGAGCCCAGCAGGTCAAGGCTGCGGTGGCTGGGCGCGGCCACTGCACTCTAGTCTGGGCAACTGAGTGAGACTCCAACTCAAAAAAAAAAAAAAAAAAGAAATTGAACCTAAAAGATATTTCACTTGTTTAGCTTGCGCATACATTTTTAAAAAATTAAATAACTTTCATAAAACGAAAAATATATTCTTGCCTAGTGGTTCTGGAAAATAAAAAAGACAATAAAAACAAATGGGCAAATGAAGATATTTGAATGACCATGAAAAGATGCTCAGGACCATTAAGAGTTAGAAAAATTCAAATTAAAACCACAATGACATATGATTTCATACCCATTACATCGGGTAAAATAAAAAAGTCCAACAATACCAGGTGTTGCAGAACTGCAGTTCTCATACTTTGCTTTTGGGGTGTAAAAAATGATGCAACAGACATAAAAAAGGACAAAATCATGAACTTCGCAGCAACCTGGATGAAACTAGAGTCAATAATACTGAGTGACCTCTCACAGAAACAAAGATCTGAGTATCACATGTTCTCACTCATATAGCAGACCTTGAACATTCATCGTAATACTATAAAAAAAAGGACTGACAGTGGTGGGAAACTATGGGGGAGGGAGTGGAAGGGAGGTGAGATTAATGGTAGTCAATATCTGTCTGGGGACGGGGAGACAACCCTTATCAACAAGGGTGCCTGAACGAAGCATATTTGTATACCTAACCCTTAACTGTACCCCACAATATCAAAATAAAAAATATTGATATAAAAAAATGATGCAATACTTTGGAAAGATGTTTGATACTGTCCTACAAACATACAACCTATCCTATGACCTTACAATTCCATTTCTACGTTTTTTACCAAAAGTAAATGAAAACATGCCCAAAAAAGACTTGTACAAGAATGTTCATACAGCTTTATTCATAATAGTCCCAAACTAAAAACAACCCAAATGTCTATCAATTGTTGTAAAATAGTAGTATATTCATAGAAGGGAAAATTACTCAGCAATAAAAACTATGGCTACATGTAACAATATGTACTAATATTAAATAATTATGCTAAGCAAAAAAGCCCAAACATTATGCTAAGCATAAAAAAATATATATTGTAACGATTTTAATTCTATGATATTCTGGAACAGGCAAAACTAATCTATAAATTATTGAGAGAAAGCAAGACCTGGGGCCACAAGAGAACTTTCTGGGATAAGGGGAATGTTCTCCATCTTGTTCCAGGTACTGGTTACTTGTATATATACAGCTATCAAACTCATCAGGCCAAGCATGATGGCATATGCCTGTAATCCCAGTGCTTTGGGAGGACAAGGCAGAGTGTCATTTGAGCTCAGGAGTTCAAGTTTACAGTAACTATGATGATAACTTTTTCTATGATGTTGCCCTGCACTCCAGCCCGGGCAACAGAGTGAGACCCTGTTTCTAAAAACAAACAAAACAAAACAAAAAACTCTCATCAAATTTGAATACTTATGATCTGTACATCTTATTGTATGTAAATTACACCACATTTTAAAATAATGTTATAAAATTTATTAGCAAAAAAATGTCAAGACTGAATGTTGTGGCTCACGTCTGTAATCCCAGCACTTTGGGAGACTGAGGTGAGAGGAATGCCTGTGCTCGGGGGTTCGAGACCAGCCTGGGCAAGCTGGTGAGACCTCATCTCTACAATAAATCACAAAAATTAGCCGGGCGTGGTGGCACGTGTGTGTGGTTCCAGTTACTTGGAAGGCTGAGGCAGGTGGAAGGATTGCCTGAGCCCAGCAGGTCGAGGTTGCGGTGGCAGTGAGCTTGCCAGCCTGGGTGCACTGCACTCCAGCTTGGGTTACAGAATGAGACTCTAACCCCCCCAAAAAAAAGTCAATCAGCAATATAAGCAGGCGATTTGGCATTTTCTACCACACATGCCTACACTGTAAATACATATAAAACACAGGCCCCCACTATCTCTTCTGTCCCATTTAATGTTTACTAAGTATGAAAAAATATAAAATAAAAAATATATCTATGAAAAGTTGATAAGTGGTGTTATGCACTTATCTATCCCATTCCAACAAAAAAATTAACTCAATTATGGCCAGAATACATAATTCCTATTATCAAAGTTCAAACTAACTTCAACCACTTAAATCTTTTTATTCTGAGGACTTTGATGAAGTTATATTGTTGACAGCTTATATTTTTCCACTAATCACAGAGAAAAAATATCAGTGTAAAGGAAATTTTGCTGCAAATTTTTGAATGCTTGGTAAATCTTATAGAAACATTGCATGCTTTTAGAAGAGTCTAATTTAAATTTATTAGGTTAAAACACAAATTCAAGTTTAATTAAAAAGAACTGAAAAACGTGATATTTATAAAGAAATATGATGTATGGAAAGTAGAAAATATAAAGCAAGAGAAGTAAATAACTATTATCATACCCATTGAAAATATGCTGAATGAGAGGATGAGTAGTCTTCATGTATACATCCCGGTTGGTACATGCCTCTCCAAAGACTTCATCAAAATAAAAAACATGCTGAAAAATAAATTTTATTTTTATTTTACTATAGGTGCATGCCACCACAGCTGGCTAATTTTTAAATTTTTGTAGAAACGGTGCCTCACTATGCTGCCCAGGCTGGTCTTGAACTCCTGGCCTCAAATAATCCTCCCATCTCAGCCTCCTAAAGTTTTGGGATTATAAGAGTGAGCCATTTTGTCCAGCCATAGTTGATTTTTACAGAAGACACATTCGGGATTTCGTTCACCACTATCCTAGTTAACATATGATATTATTTTACATTTTAAAATAATAGTGCCAGGTACGGTGGCTCAAGCTTATAATCCCAGCACTTTGGGAGGCGGAGGTGAGAGGATTGCCTGAGTTCAGGGGTTCGAGACCAGCTTGAGCAACATGGCGAGACCTTGTCTCTACAATAAATCAAAAAATTAGGTGGGCATGGTGGCACCAGCTGTGGTTCCAGCTACTTGGAAGGCTGAGGCAGAAGGATCACCTCAGTCCAGCAGGTCGAGGCTGTGGTGGCTGTGAGCATGCCACTGCACTACAGCCTGGGCAACAGAGTGAGACTTCAACTCAAAAATAAAATAAAAAATAAAATATAATAGGAACTGACCATGAAATATTTAGAGATAAATAAGTAATCAAAAACTGTTGAATTGACAGGGCATCCTTTTATGTGATCTCTGTAGGCATGTGGTTTTTTTTTTTTGAGTTGGCGTCTCACTCTTGTTGCCTAGGCTGGCGTGCAGTGGCATGCTCATGGCTACCACAGCCTTGATGAGCTGGGTTCAGGCAATCCTTCTGCTTCAGCCTTCCAAATAGCTGAAAGTACAGGCATGTGCTGTATTAAAAAATACCAAATTTTTAAAAAATTTATTGTAGAGATGAAGTCTCACCAAGTTGCCCTAGTTGGTCTCAAACCCCTGGGCTCAGGCAATTCTCTTGTCTTGGCCTCCCAAAGTGTTGGGATTACAGGTGTGAGTCACCGTGCCTGGCCCATAGGCATATTCTTACAATATAAAAACTAAAGTACATGATTTTTGTTCTCTCTCAAGGGAAGAAATTGATGAGTACAAGAGTGAGCCAGTTCTCCTTAGGAATAGGAGATATATTGAATTCTATGGTGATTCTTTTCATTTTCAAACTAGGGCCAGCATATTTGAAATTTTGGAAGAATTCTAGGGGAACATCTCAATTTTGTAGGTTTCATAGCTTAACTTTTAATTCCATAAACATTTATTGCTCAGCTGCTAGCATGTATATTGCAGTAGGCACTTAAAGGGGCCCAAAGATACAGACATTATCCTACCATTACCCTATCCTACCCTCTAAAGGTGTTAATCTACACAAATATAGGAATGAATATAATATAAAAGAATCTTAAGATAAAGTACACACAGACTTCAAAGGAAAAACATATTCCTTTTGATTATGAAGAAGACTGTACTGAGAATAAACACCATGGAGGGGAAGAGGAATTTGAGAGGGGAGGTGGAGGGAGAGAAGGTATTCCAAGCTCAGGGAAGCATGAACAAAGAGCGAAAATAGGAAAGCACAAGGAACTAACTGTTTAATTAATGTTTAGAGAACAGAAAAGATTCAATGTGGATAAAATACAGGATCATGGTAAGTAGAACAGTGAAACAGAATGTTAGAATAATGAGTTAGAAGTATGTTGTACGGGTCTTGGAACACCAGTCTAAAGGAAAGGGGACAACATTTAATTCCCCAAATAGTGGAGACAACAGAAACTTTGCGAGCAAGCAGAATGATTTCAGACATTTTACTAGAAGACTAATCTTGCTTTCACAACACAATTGAGACGTAATTCAGTGGTGAGGTAAGAAAAGTCTAAACTAGAGGATAACCATGGAAATAAAGAGATGGAAGTACAAGAAGTTTGGCAACTGAGTTCATGTGGTAACCTGGGGAGAGAAAAGGACCCAAGACGACTTCCAAATGAAAACTCATAGTAATATGAAAAAGGAAACCCTATTAAATCAGGTCTAGAAAGCATTGATTCAGCAGTCATAATTATTTGTATAATTTAGAGACTTATTATGTTGGCAGTCCAACTATATCTGAGTAAGAGATCCTAATAATTTCAAGCCTGACTATAGCATAATGACAGTACATATGAAGTGAATGAGAGATAAGGTCCTATTTTCTACTACCTTTTGGGCCTGCTATAAATATGAAGTTAAGGAAAAATTACATGGACAGATCCAGAAAATTGGAGCTGGACAAATTTATTATGGGTCACTCCACCCTTGGTTTGATTCTGTTTTATATACAATTATATTACATTGTATTACATTAGAAGGAAAATTTGTTAGGTCATCTGAGAAGAAACTGGGACCACAAGGCTGAACTTACAAGTTAGAAAAAGCCTCCAAGAGTCAGGAGGTAAAAAAATGAAACTGTGCAAAATAATAGAGATCTGTGAATTGCTAGTGCTTTAAGAAATGTGATGAGATTTTTAAGAACAATAACATGTTACTAACTACTGAAACTGAGTGAAAGGTACCTAGGGTTCACTACTCTTTTGATTAAGCTTAAAATATCAATAATAGTGAGTTAAATATATTTGTAAAATCTAGTTTTAATAAACAGTTGATTTTTTTTTTTTTTTGAGTCAGGTAATTCTCTTGCCTCAGCCTCCCAAAGTGCTGGGATTACAGGCAGGAGCCACCACACCCTGCTAGTTTTAATGAACAGTCTTTATATCTAATTCATACCTGGCCTCAAAGCAAGGAGATGAATTAATCATTGCTCAAACGTCACCATGGGTTTTTATAGTTAAAGAGGAGATCAAAAGTAAAAAACAAAAAATCTATGTCTAGACCTATAGATGTAGACATATTTGGCATTTCTCAAGAAAATAAGGGGGAAAAAACCAAGTAAAAGTGGGAATACTTTTTTTTGGTTTCTTTTTATTTCACTGAGCATATGCAACTCTTTCTTTCCTTCTATAAATGCTCATAAATAACTTTAGCTTTTGCATAAACTCCCTAAAAAGCATTTATTGATTACACAGATTAGCATCTTTCCTTTCAGTAGGATTTAGATATTGGTTTTTCAGAACTTTTGTAAATACCTTTCATGAATATGTGTAAATATGCAAGATTATAATTATAGTTAACATATATATATACAATTCATAAAGTCCTTTGCATCACATATGCTTTCATTTGATCACACTTTACAGTAAGGTTGAAGTGACATCTACTTTATACCTCATTTTAGTCTTGGTATGATAAAAGTTCCATAGTTTATTTTTAAAATAAGTTTTTCTTCAGATTATAAAACTTATATGTATTTACAGAATATCTCTGGAAAGATACACTTAGAATATGTAACACTGGTTGCTTTTATGGAGGAAATGGGATAAGAAGAACACTTTTTGCTGTATAATTCTTTTTTTTTTGAGTTGGAGTCTCACTCTGTCACCCAGACTGGAGTGCAGTGGCCACTCCTGGCCACCACAGCCTCGACCTGCTGGGCACCAGTGATCCTTCCGCCTCAGCCTTCCAAGTAGCCAGAATTACAGGCATCGCTACCATGCCCGGCTGATTTTTTGATTTACTGTAGAGATGAGGTCTCACTGCCCAGGCGGGTCTCGAACCCGCGGGCTCAGGCAATCCACTCACCTCAGCCCCCCAAAGGCGCAGGATTACAAGCCCGGCTTGCTGTATAATTCTGTATACCTTTTGATTTTGAAATGGTTGAGTCTATCCTATTCAAAAGTTTTAACTTTTTAATATAAAAGCAACACAGTTGATTGTAGAAAATGTTTAAAATACAAAAATATAGAATAGAGAAAGAAAAGAAAATAGCAATAGAGAAAAAAATCAAGTTATCTATTAATCTTGCCACCAAAGATAGCCATTCTTAATTTTTGGTGCATTTCACTATAAACCTTCCCTCTCCATATATTTTTTCTTTATTTAAAAAATTAAAATGAAACAAATATAGTTTTGTTTCCTTGCTTTTTCACTCATTATGTTGATATCATACAATTTTTTCTTTTTTTTGGAGTCAGAGTCTCACTCTGTCACCCATGCTGGAGTGTAATGGCACACTCATGGCCACTGCAGCCTCAATCTACTGGGCTCAGGTAATCCTTCTGCCTCAGTTTCCAAGTTGCTGGAACAACAGGTGCATACCACCATACCCAGCTAATTTTTTTTTTTTTTTGAGTTGGAGTCTCACTCTGTTGCCCAGACTGGAGTACAGTGGCCACTCCCGGCCACCGCAGCCTCGACCTGTTGGGCTCCAGCGATCCTTCCGCCTCAGCCTTCCAAGTATCCGGAATTACAGGTGCACGCTACCACGCCCGGCTAATTTTTTGATTTATTGTAGAGATGAGGTCTCAAGTTGCCCAGGCAGGTCTCGAACCCACGAGCTCAGGCAATCCACTCACCTCAGCCTCCCAAAGCGCGGGATTATAGGCTGAGCCACTGAGCCCGGCTTAATTTTTTGATTTATTGTACAGATGAGGTCTCGCCAAGTTGCCCAGGCTGGTCTCGAATCTGTGGGCTCAGGCAATCCTCTCACCTTGGCCAAAGTGCTGGCCACTGTGCCCGACCTGATATAATAAAATTTAATGGTTAAATACTCCATGTATATGATTGTATTCACTAAGTAACAATGCAATCCCAGTACTTTGGAAGGCTGAGAAAGGAGGATTACTTGAGCCCAGGAGTTGGAGACAAGCCTGTCTCTAAAAAACATTTAAAAACGTATCCAGGCATGGTGGCAAATGCCTGTAGTCCCAGCTACTTGGTGAGCTATGATCATACCACTGCACTCCAGCTTGGGTAACAGAGCAAGATCCTGTCTCAAAAAACAAAAATAAAAACAAGATTTGAAAAGATAGGACATTTAATAAGACACAAAAACCTATTGTTTTAATCCCTGAGTAAGTTTAAAAATAAACTCAATGAATCTAGGATCAATATTTATTTAGCATCCAGTTTGCATTTATGAATCTCCCTTTTCTTCTTTCTTTTTGAGAGAGGAAAAAGGAAAAAAAAAGTCTTCCCAACATTTTCAAATTATAGCATTGACAGGTAAGGACTTTGACCTATGAGAGCAAAGGTCTAAAGTTCAAACAGCAGGGAAAGTGCCATGGAAACTATGGGAATTCAATAAGTATTGACCAGTGATAACGACAAAAAAGTAAGGTTATTGTGTTTGGAGATAATAGAAAAATACAAAAGATAAGATGATGCCTCCTTGAGGGAATTACTGTGACAGAAGCATCATTAAGGAAGTCTTGGGTAGATGATGATTGGATAGGGATATTATTATGGCTATAAGTAGCCTTGGAACTAGATAGTTTTACACCAATTGGTTATTTAGACCATTTTCAAAATAAATACCTCCCACTGAGACTAATAGACTGTGCATTGATCAGCAATCAATAAGGCTGTTAAAGTGATTGGGTTGGTTTTACAGTGGCCTAATAATTTACTACTGATAGACTCAGTGGATTACTTTGAATGTCACTGTGAAACACAATTTTGGTAACCAAGGAAAAAGGAGAACAATGCAAGTTTGAAAGGGGGAAAGTGTTAACAATTTGACTTTAGCATTAAAGGATTTATTCCAGTAAAGTGAGAGCTTAGCTGACTAAGGTGAATTGCTAGCACATTCGATTACTCAACTTTTTTTCTCCCTGTCACTGGGTTTTGAGGCAAGAGAACAAGAGAGAGAAAGAACGAATATAGGCTGGGCTTGGTGACTCAACCTGTAATTCCAGCACTTTGGGAGGTTGAGGTGAGTGGATTGCCTGAGCCCGCGGGTTCGAGACCCGCCTGAGCAACTTGGCGAGCCCTCATCTCTACAATAAATCAAAAACTAGCTGGGTGTAGTAATGCGCTCCTGTAGTTCTGGCTACTTGGAAGGCTGAGGCAGAAGGCCAGGAGCGTGCCACCGCACTCCAGTCTGGGCGGCAGAGTGAGACTCCAACTAAAAAAAAAAAAAAAAAAGAACGAATATAATATGAATATTTTTGAATGTTCAGGGTAAGGCAAACTCTGAATTCCCAAATCTCAACATTTGATGGATTATCTCCTATTTTAGACTATTTATAATTGTTTCCTAATTTTATGAGTACCTAAATTATGATTCTCACCCACGTGGAAACTTGCTGCTTCCCTATGAGACTGAAGAGTTACTGTAAGGTATCTTTCAGTTTGGAATAAGTTCCTTTAACCCCCACATTATTAGTAAGATGACTCTAGCAGTTCAAGGTATAATATGAAAATGGGTTGTGGAAGTTCTCCCAAGGAAGAAGAGGGCTCACTTCTTCCAGTGTTTCCTTCTTAGAAGTTTTCTTCTCTATAATATTGAGTGATCTTTCACAGAAACAAAGAACTGAGTATCACATGTATCTCACTCATAAGTGGACCTTGAACAACTACCGCAATACTGTAAGAAAAGGATTGACTGTAGCGGGAAACTGCAGAGGGGAAGAGGGTGGGGAGGTGGGACTGACAGTAGTGAGAATCTGCCTGGGGAAGGGGGAGGCACACCTCATCAACAAGGGTACCTGCACAGTGAATATTTGTATACCTAACCCTGAAATATACCCCACAATTTAAAATTTAAAAAAATTTTAAAGTTAAAAAAAAAAAGTTTTCTTCTTAGAAGTCGGTATTGAAAAATAATTCCTTTCAATCCAAACCCTTTCTCCTTAAACACTTCATAGCCATTCTAGCAAGGAATGAACATTCTTTACACGCCTGAACTACTGGTGTTTAATTTAAACCCTATGTTAGATGTAAAATAATATCCCTGGATTATATTTACCCATTGCAATCTACCCTGTATAAAGTGGCCTGCTCAGAGCCCAATTTCTACCAATTAAATATGAGCCCAAGACAGTTGAAATATGAGCCCAAGACAATTAAAATAAGCAGGTGACTGGCAATCTGGGGCCTTGTTGCTCAAAAAGACATTGTCCATCATTAAACTCAAGACCCATACTCAGCAGATGAGAAGTTCATACCAAGAGATGCAAGCAAGAACGGAGACCAACTGTGTGACCACCTTGTTACTCTGGAGCATATGTTCAATGACTGGTACTGTAGAAAGTATTTACAATCTTTATTTTTTATACACAGGGTCTCACTCTGTTGCACAGGTTAGAGTGTAGTGGCGTGATCACAGCTCACTGTAACCTCAAACTCCTGAGCTCAAATGATTCTCCTGCCTCAGCCATCCAAGTAGCTAGGACTATAGGTGCACACCACCATGCCCAGCTAATTTTTTTTTTTTAGTTGGAGTCTCACTCTGTCGCCCAGGTTGGAGTACAGTGGCATACTCACAGCCACCCCAGCATCGACCTGCTGGGTTCTGGTGATCCTTCCATCTCAGTTTTTCAAGTAGCCAGAACTACAGGTGCATGCTAGCATGCCTGGCTAATTTTTTAATTTATTGTAGAGACAAGGTCTCACCACATTGCCTGGGCTGGTCTTGAACCCGTGAGCTCAGGCAATCCACTCACCTTGGACTCCCAAAGTGCTGGAATTATAGGCTGAGCCACCAAGCCTGTTCTATTTTTTTTTTTTTTTGTTATGTTGTCTGGGCTGGTTTCAAACTCCTGGCCTCAAGTGATCCTCCCAACTTGTCTTCTAAAGTACTGGGATTACAGGCATGAGCCACTGTGCCCAGTCCCTAAATTCTTTTTATTCCTTCATTCCCCTCCTTTTTTGCTAAATATGCATAATTAAATTCACATACATCATGCTAAGTAAATGTATGATGCAGCTCCACTGCACCAGAGTAGAGGAATTATGATTCTGTATCCCCCCACTGCAATGTATAGTTAAAAAATAAAGGCCCAGAGTATCAATGATTTAATGCAGTGTCATATCAGAAATGAATGTCAACACCATAACTAGAAACTGAATTTTAGAACTTGCATGCTGACCTCAAACAAAAAGCAAAACATTGTTGTGCTTGATAATATTAGTTTCAAACACAAAAAGAAAACATCATACCTGCAGAATATACTGTGTAAGGTCAACTGCTTCTTTCTTCTCATGTACAAGTAGAGTTTCTTTGTCTTCAACAGTAATAATATTAACTTCTCCACGGCGTACTTCCCTCATTCCCAGGGGGCGTTTTCGAACACAAACTCTGATTTTCTCCATCTCAGTCCAAGGATTCTCTTTCTTTGAAGTGTTGTGTCTGATATATGTTTATAAGTAGGCTTTAATTTTTTAATAAGAGGATAAGGCTACTTAAAACATCAAAGTATCAGTACATTTTGGTGTATATTAGGAATAATGTATTTTAAATAGCTACATATTAGTGTCAACACTGAGCAAGCTATTTTATTAGCTAAATCACCCCTGATTACTTCTTTCCATCCCTATCCCACTCTACCCCTTACCCTGAAAAAATAAACCCCAAAAACAAACAAAAAAATCCCCTAAGAGATGTTTTAGTTCTAAGATTTTTGTGTTTGGCTTCCAGGTGTAGTCTTCTAATAGTGGTTTCTCTTTATGTCCCCAAAACTTAGGCTGGTTAATTCTCAAATCTAACGCAATATGTTGCTACCACCCCTCCAAGGCCTTCACAAACTCCAATCATGTCTCTTGCTCCCTTTCACTCTAATTATTCTTGCATGTTTACTATGTTCTTGACCATCAATCTAATTTCTTTTTTTATCCTACCTAGTTTATTAAATACCTTGAATTAAATGGTAGATTCCAATGCATTTTTCCTGTTCTTCCCAGTTATATTCTGCTCCCTTCTGTGTCCCATTTCCACTAATTCAACCTTCTCTTCAAATGTATTCCTTCATTGGCTCTGACTTCATTGAACTACTCAAACTTAACATCCAACATTTGAGGCAATATTCCTTGGGTGATATGAAATTCATCAGTACTTGCTGAACCTAATGGTGGTATATATTTCTTTTTTTTTTTTTTTTGAGTTGGAGTCTCACTCAGTAGCCCAGACTGGAATGCAGTGGCTGCTCCCGGCCACCGCAGCCTCTACCTGCTGGGCTCCAGCGATCCTTCTGCCTCAGCCTTCCAAGTAGCTGGAACTACAGGCGGTCGCTACCACACCTGGCTAATTTTTTTCATTTATTGTAGAGATGAGGTTTCGCCAAGTTGCCCAGGTGGGTCTCGAACCCGCGGGCTCAGGCAATCACCTCAGCCTCCCAAGGTGCGGGATTACAGGCTGAGCCACAGAGCCCAGCTAAAGCACTAGTTTTAAACCACATTTACTTTTAACCAACATATAGAATACTTAAACATGTATCCTTTTTGTATGAAACTGCAGCTGGAAAAAATAACTGCATTATTTTAAGGTAGTGTGGGAAGATCTCGACAAACATTAAAACTGGATAATGGACATATTGGGACTCACTGCTCTTTTCTCTCTCATTCTGCATATGTTTGGTTTTTCACAAGAAAAGGAAAATCCTTGATGCATCACTTTAAGAAGGATTTTGTGTCAAAATCCTTAGTTGCGGTTAAGTATTAATAACCTAATCATATAAAGCTAATCAAAGAGGATAGAAAATGTTTAGTCCAGGGCTCTAGGATGACTCATATGGACATAAGTCCTGTAGTTTTCAAGTTCAAGGGGACAAGAAGAAATGCACGTTCTGCTCCTTAAAAAAGCTCTAATTTTTTTTTTTTTTTTTGAGTTGGAGTCTCACTCTGTTGCCCAGACTGGAGTGCAGTGGCCGCTCCCGGCCACCGCAGCCTCGGCCTGCTGGGCTCCGGTGATCCTTCCACCTCAGCCCTCCAAGTAGCTGGAACTACAGGTGTGCGCTACCACGCCCGACTAATTTTTTGATTTTTATTGTAGAGATGAGGTCTCACCAAGTTTCCCAGGCGGATCTTGAACCTGCGGGCTCAGGCAATCCACTCACTTCGGCCTCCCAAAGCACGGGATTACAGGCTGAGACACCGAGCCTGGCCAAAAAAGCTCTAATTTTAATGTTCAACCTTCCCTACAAGGAAACTATATCCTTCTGACATGCAAAGAGTTAAGAAAGCTGGAGTCAGGTCTATTTGTGATATTAAATAAGTCAGGGCAATCAGTTCTCTAAATGTCCTGGACTTTTATTAAAATTCTGAAGCCAGCAATTATTCTGAACTTCAGGAATATCTGAAAAGCAAAACCCTAATCTGAGGTATCAAAGAACTTTTTGGATAGAATGACTCCCTAATAGCAAGCCTTAAGATAATAAGAAGGTTTCTCAAGGTTCCAAAAATCTTTACTCCTACTTGAGATTTGGGTGAGAAGACAATATTAAGGATTACTGGAGAAAGTGTACTTTCTTAGCTTCATTTCTCTAAGACAAAAAAATAAGCCTGGAGCAGTGGCTCATGCCAGTAATTAAAGCACTTTGGGAGGCAGAGGCAAGAGATTGCCTGAGTCCAGGGGTTCGAGACCAGCCTTGACAATCCTCTTATCTCAGTCTCCCAAAGTGCTGGGATTACAGGCATGAGCCACTGTGCCTAGTTGTAATCCACAGAATTTTTTAAAGGCTATCAAATTCATTTAAACCAACCAGGAGACTTAAAGCTTGGTTAAAAACAAAGAGCATGTAGTTGAACTAAGGAGGACTTTGGAGCAGTTAGTTCATCTGCACACACTGAAATATGATCTTGGTTTTTGAGTTCTCTATACTATTCCAGTCTGGAAAACAGATGATTTGGGTGATTACAAAGAATAAGGCACTTTTGGTGGAGATTAGAGTTTGAGAGTACGGGTAGCAATAAGTTATTTTTACCTAGCACTTCAAGTTAGAATTTGAAATTGGGTCCCTAAGAGGTGAAATACTATTATCAATATGGATGCACTAGATATATCAATATGGTTACACTATAATAAATAATAGAAATAGTTCTGCCATAGGAATAGTAGCAGACTTATCAAGTAGTAGCCGCCTGGTGTACATGAACAATATAATCTTTCTCCCATCTGGAAAGTCCCAATTCTCCATTAATTTCCCTCTATCCAGGTATTTCTATTGTTGAACAGCAAAAGCTTTTCACTATCCTTTCTATATTATATCCATTTACTGTAAATAATGAGTAGTTGCTCTCCTCTGGACATGAAGGAGAGGTCTGCCTTTGCTGAGGCTACTTAATATCCCCAAAAAAGAAATGAATAAATTATTACCTGATACAAGAATGATGGATTCCATAGTTATACCCTGAAACATGAGAGACTCTTTGAGTAATGGGAATATCACAATCCCCTAGTACTGGAGAAAAGTGATGTGGTAAAAAGAGTAAAGAGTTGGTTTCTGTTTGCACATAGGAATCAGTAGCTGTAGCATTCAGAATCCTTGCTTTGGTATGGTACTGGGAATCATCTGGTAGTATGTGTTCCAGCACTTTTAGGGAAGTGGACTTCTGTTCACTTGCAGAGAAGTCTGATAAATTGCACATTTCTAATTCCTCATTACTGGTAGTTCTGTCTTTATTGTCAGAAGGAGAATCAAAATGCAGTTGTCTGCGAGGGCCAGATCTGAATTCCTGAGGCTTGATGTACCGGCTGCTCACCTGAAGATGATGCTCTGGGCTACCGACTGTTTTATCTTCTTCTTGCATAATCTTAATAATTTTGATAAGTTGGAAGAGACGTTTGCGGTCATTCATGTCATGGACTCCCAATTTTGAGTAATCCTTCATTGTAACCTTGGCTAATTCATCTATTTTCTGAAGGCCAAGTGCAGTAAAATGAGGATAATACTGTGCAAGTTCAGCTTCACAAAGACATTCATATAACCAGGATGCCATTTTTGTGAATAGGTTTCTGTAAACTCAAAGAGAAAAAAAAATCATTCACTTGAAATAGAGTATATATAATACAATATTCCTTTAAAAAAGCACAAAACAAACATGCAGAACAATGTCTTATCTAGCAAGTGTTCAATAACTATATTTTCCTGAATGACTGATTAAACAGCATAGTGCATGAGCAAAGATGCTTTGTTCAGCATATTAAGAATTTGTAGTAACATATAATTTGGTTATCTGCTTAATAAAAAGAGACCTTCAATTATATATCTATACACGAACAAGCATACATATCACTTACTTTTTTCTAGGGAGGTCCTTCCAACCTTGCAATGTCTACTTAACACATGCCACAAACTATTGAAACCTTGTTCCCAACCACTGATTGCAACAGGACTAATTTTAGATGTTCAACTTAATGTCAAGGCATGTTGCACAACTGTTTTCCGTGATTAATGAACAAGGGTAAGAACTCTTTGAGAATGGAAAGCAGAATTAATAGCAGACCACAGAGGATTATAAACTAATATGACTCAGTAAATAGAGTATTTGTATCTGCTGAGTACTGCCAAAAAATTAGTTAAAAAGAAGTAAAACAATCATCGATTCAGCATCAACTAATTATAAAAGGTGGTTGTCAATCTCTACCTGTATAGAATAGGAATCAAATAATTTACCTAGGAAATTAATACTATGGTCAAGATTTTAAATATTTGTACATTAAAATGCTTAAAAAATTTTAACACCAAGAAACTTAATTAAATACTAATAAATGATGTGCTAATAACCCATAATCCTGATCTATTATTAAAGCCAGGATCCTGAGTTCTCCATGTCACTGTTAATCAAGTTCAAGTTTATGAGAATAATCAAAGGTAAGTAAACTACATGTTCTTTTTAAAAATGGTTTTATGGCCGGGGTCAGTGGCTCAGCCTGTAATCCCAGCACTTTGGGAGGTCGAGGTGAGTGAATTGCCTGAGCCCATGGGTTCCAGATCAGCCTGGGCAAGTTTTGAGATTTTGTCTCTACAATAAACAAACAATTAGCCGGGTGTGATAGTACGTGCCTGTAGTTCCAGCTACTTAGAAGGCTGAGGCAGAAGGATCGCCGGAGCCTAGCAAGTTGATGCTGGGGTGGCCCTGAGTATGCCGTTGCACTCTAGCCTGGGCAATGGACTAAAAAAAAAAAGGTTTTATAAACACCAGATGTGGTGGCTTACACCTGTAATCCCAGCACTTTGGGAGGCAGAGGCGAGAGGATTACCTGAGCCAGGGGTTCAAGACCAGCCTAGGTAACTTGGTGAGACCTCATCTCTACAATAAATCAAAAAATCAGCCTGGTGTGGTAGCACACACCTGTGGTTTCAGCTACTTGGAAGGCTGAAGTGAAAGGATCACCTGAGCCCAGCAGGTCAAGGCTGCAGTGGCCATGAGCATGCACTGTGCACTCCAGCCTGGGCAACAGAGTGAGACTCTGACTCAGGAAAAAAAAAAAAAGGTTTATAATTCAGAGTTTTCAAAAATTGAATTAGTTAACTAGTGGTAAAACCTTCCTGTTTTTATTTTAAAGTATATTTTGTCTTCTCTCTAGGAGAAACGGAGTAAGAGTTGAGGGCAAATAATAAAGGTAATCAAAGAAATTTGAATAATTAACTTGGGAGGAAAAACTACTTAGGCTAAAGAAGAGGCTAATGTGGCTGAGTAGTATCCTAAACTAGTTCAGCCTTTTTTTTTGAGTTGGAGTCTCACTCTGTCACCCAGACTGGAGTGCAGTGGCCGCTCCCGGCCACCGCAGCCTCAACCTGCTGGGCTCCGGTGATCCTTCCACCTCAACCTTCCAAGTAGCCGGAATTACAGGCATGCGCTACCACGCCCAGCTGATTTTTTGATTTATTGTAGAGATGAGGTCTCGCTGCCCAGGCGGGTCTCAAACCCTTGGGCTCAGGCAATCCACTCACCTCAGCCTCCCAAAGGCGCGGGATTACAGGCTGAGCCACCGAGCCCGGCCAGCCTTTTTTAAATTTGTGGTAGATTAAAAAAAAAAGCAGGGGGGTGGGGGCACAAATTCTTCATCTAAAGGTGGAGTCTGTTTCTCCTCTCATCGCATCTAGGCTTATCTTGTGACTTGTTTTGGCCAATAGAATATAGTGGAAGTGATGCTATGTGACTACCATGCCTAGGTCTCAAGAGCCCTTGCGGTTTCTACTGCTCTCTCTACTGTTCTCTTGGAATTCTTCCACTGACAAGTGAAGAAGTCCAGCCAACAGACATCACCAAAGTCAGACATGTGAGAGAAGTCATCTTAGACTATCCAGCCCCAGTGGCACCACTAGATGACTATAGCCACATGAGTGACCCCCAGGAAGACCAGTAGAACAACTACCTAGCTAAGCCCAATCCAAATATCTGACTCACAGAACTCTGAGTAAATAAAATGTGAATTGTTTTAACCAAAAGTTTTGGGGTAGTTTGTTACCTAGTAATAGATAACTGCAATACCACTTATTTTACAATAACAATTATTATTTTTAAATAAGCTTTTTAAAATTAATTAATTAATTAATTATTTTAATTTTAGAGATAGGGTCTCCCTATGTTGTCCAAGCTGGACTTGAACTTCTAGGCTCAAGTGAGTCTCCCACCTCAGCCTCCCAAGTAACTGGGAATACAGGATTGAGCATTCCCAGTTTAAAATTTATTGTTATTAGACTTTATTTTTTAGAGCAGTTTTAGGTTCACAGTAAAATTGAGTGGAAGGTACAGAGATTTCTCATAAACCCCCTGCCCCAAACATGTATCTAGCCTCCTCCATTATCAATATCCCCCAACGATCAATGGTACAATTGATGAACATACATTGTCATGGACTCATCGTCCAAAGTCCATAGTTTACATTAGGGTTCACTCTTAGTGTTGTAGATTCTATGGGTTTGAACAAATGCAGCCTCCATTAGAGTACCATACAGAGTAGATTCACTGCCCTAAAAATCTTCTGTGTTCCACCTTTTCAACTCTCCTTCCCCTCGGCAATCAATGATCTTTTTACTGCCTCTATAGTTTTGGCTTTTCCAGAACGTTATATAGTTGAAATCATACAATATGTATCCAGTCAGATTGGCTTCTTTTACTTGGTAACATGCATTTAAGTTTCCTCCATTTCTTATCATGGCTTGATCGCTCATTTCTTTCTAGCACTGAACATTCCATTGTCTGTACCACAGGTTATTTATCCATTCACCTACTGAAGGACATCTTGGTTGCTTCCAAGTTTTGGCAATTAGGAATAAAGCTGCAGGCTTCTGTGTGGACACTAGTTTCAACTCCTTTGGGTAAATACCACCTATGCAGTAGCTAAATCAGGTCACCAATCCCTTTACTACTATTTCTTCTACCTGGAATATATATGTTTCCCAGAATAAACACTATTTGTACTTTTCTTCTATAAAGTCTGCCAGAGCAGAGGATAACTGATATTTCCTCTGTGCTTCAGCAATAACACTAGCAGCTAGTTATTTAGTGAGTATTTATTACATACCATGCACTGTTCCAAGCACTTAATTTGTTAACTTCCAAACATACTATGAAGCAGGTAAGTGTGTGACCTTTGGCAAATTACTTATTTAATACCTCTGAAACTCATTTTTCTCAACTGTAAAATAGGAATGTAATAGACCTCAGAGTTCCTAGGGTTAGGCTTCAATAAGAAAATATTGCCAGCACAGTAGCTCACACCTGTAATCCCAGCACTTTGGGAGGGCGCCGTAGGAGGATCACTTGAGGTCAGGAGTTCTAGACCAGTCTGGGCAACACAGCAAAACCTCATCTCTACAAAAACCCAAAAAATTAGCTGGGCATGGTGGCATGTACTTTTAGTTCCAGCTACTTGGGAGGCTGAGGTGGAAAGATGGCTTGAGACCAGGAGTTAGAGGCTGTGGGGAGCCGTGATCGTGCCACTGTACTCCAGCCTGGGTGACAGTAAGACTGCTTTCAAAAAAAAGAAGAAAAAAAGAAAAGAAAATACTTGTAAATGTCTGATACATACTTAGTGCCCAATAAGTGTTAGTAGTTCTTACTACTGCCATTGCTGTTTCTGCTATCTTTACCACCTGTACAGAACCTAGAATAGAATAAGCCTCCAATGTTTTGGTTTGTTTAAGCTATTTCTAAGCAGCTGCATTCCCAGTTGGTTCAGCCTAACCCACGGGAACAGGTTGTTTAAGTGCTTTGCAGTCTTCTCAATTTCCATAGGCTGTAAAAGATCCTGTATTTCACATACCCACTCCCTTGGTGACATACCAGACATTTCCCAATCTAATTCTGATCATAATGACCTCTACTGCAACCCTTAATCAGTAACTGCAAGACTAACATATTTATCCTGCAGTGTTTGGATATCTCATATATCCTGGGGAAAGGAAGGTGCTAGAGATAGCAATAATTCGGACATGCAGATTAAAGCAGCCACTGACAAGCTTCTACATTAGTAGGCAGCCATACCACCTTTCTGAGCCCTACAGCTCTGTGTTCTTTTGTTTTAAAATTAAGTATGCTTCTTGGTACCACATTCTGTTTTACAATGTCCAGCTCCTCCTCTTCTTCTGGGATAAACATCAGAATCACTCTAGACACTTTAAAAAATATAGATACCAGCCCCATCCCAGATTGACCGAAAAACAAATAACAACAAAACTCCCAGGTTTTGGGGGAGACAGACATAAGGACTTTGAAAAAGTTTCCCAGGTGATTATGATTGTATTCCACTGATCTTTACTATCAAAATTACGAACATAAACGCACAGACCCAGCAGTTATGCCTCTAGGAACTTATCCTACAGACATTATGTACAAATCCAAAATGATATAAGTACAAAGTTATTCGAGCTGGGCACACTGGTTCCCGCTTGTAATCCCAGCACTTCAGGAGGCTGAGGCAGAAGGAGTTCAGGATTTCGAGAACAGCCTGGGCAACATAGCAAGACCTCATCTCTACAATAAATAAATAAATAGCTAGGTGTGGTGGCAAGCACCTGTAGCCCCAAG